CCGGTCCGCGGACCGGGGGGTGGGGACCACTGGGCTAAAAGAAGACAATCTGTAAGTATTTCACAGAAAGGAAAGTTATATTGTTCCTAAAAACTTTATACACTTTTTTGTGAGATAAGTGTTTTTTTTTTAAAGTTAAGGTATGCAACTTTTCCTGTAGAGGATCCATAACTGTAAAGTTCAGTTGCACCCAGAAGACTAACTGGTAGCCTTTGAGCGGATTCACCATTAAGCCACAGTGATATTAAGTTCTTTGTCTCCGATGTACCATACAAGCAAGTTACTTTGTTTAGCACTTCTGTTCCTGGCAGAGGGAGGAAACAAAAGAGGGATTTAAAAGGAATCACCACACAAAGCTCATCTCGTGGGCCGCTTCTGGAACAATCCAGAGAGAGCTGCATCTGGATTGCCTGCAGGCTGGAACCCTTCCCCCTTCAATGAATGTCCTATCTTACAGGGAAGAGTTGTGGGATTCTAATGGCTCCAAAACATTCCAGTGAGATGAAAAATGACAACGTGAAATAATTTCGCTGCAAGAAGTGAGGAAAGCACAAAGAAAGCTTCGGAGAAAGGTGAGCATCGAAACAAGCACAAAATGATGGTGTCGGGTTAAAATTTGAGTTTACAGCATAGTTTCTGGCTAGTATTTATAAATCACACCTGTACCAACACAGAATTAATTACCAGGCCACAGTAAACAACAGATGGACACTGTATTATGATAGCCAAAGGAACAATGGAACAAGACACTCTTTTCTGCATAGATATTACAAGCATAAAAACTTGCCCAGGTCTTAGCAAGAACAAGCTAAAATGTATTCCTAGCAATATGGTGGCATTTTAAACTCTTGATAGTTTAAGGCCATCACCCATTTTGGGATTGGTCAATGAATCTACTAAATGTTATGTTACAAGCTGCTTTACAGGTTCAGTCTGATGAATGCTGCCAAGTCTTCAGATTGTGGAGAGAGATAAAAATTACAAAATTAATAAATAAAAGAAATGGAAAGTATTACTAATACAATTTCAAAATATTTTTCATAGTAAAGCTATTGCCTTCGTTTGTAAAGCACTTCCCCATATTCATTTCAGGATATCTTAATATATTTTTCCTTTAGCATCCTTTAATTTTCAAGAATATACAGTGGGACCTCTGGTCCCGAAGGGCTCAGATCACGAGCAATTCGGGTGCCGTCCGAAAAACCCGCTAAGTGTCTCACTCAGGTCACGAACAGATCCTCGGGTGCCAAATAAACACAGCCACAGTGATTTCCCCTGTATGGCAATTTCCCCTGCCGCCCCATTTTTTGTGTGCGCGCGCATGCACAGTCAGTCTTGCTTCTGGTCACGACCAAATTGGGTGCCGACCAATTGGAACGCATTACAGTCTGCACCCAAGGTCTCACTGTATCAGCATTTCTTTGAAGATAGCATTTAAACTGTATATTCCTTCCAGAAGACATTCCTTGCCACAAGCTGTCAGTGGTTTTATTTCTTTCCATTGCTATTGATGTGTGTTTATTTGCCTATATTTGTGTATTGCCCACTTCATATGACTCAAGGTGGATTATAAGAATATAATAAAATATAAATCCAAAATTAACATTTAAGAAATAAATAATTATGAGACCGTAAAAGCACAAACGCCTCATGAAATAAACAGAGCTTAAGTACATTCTTGAAGACTAGGAACTTGGGGCCCTTACACTTCAGGAGACAAGGGGCAACCATAGAGGACCATCAACAAGGGGCATCGTTGAAGCAACCATAGAGAAGGAGCATCATCAAGCCCCACACTGCTTGACTTCATGTGGTGGAGCATTCAGCATCCCTTCTCAAAGGATGGGTTGAAACATGGGTTCCACCACAAAACCGCGGTAGACTAAAGCGCGCTCGATGAAAGCGCNTGACGCCCCAGCAGGGATAAAAGGAAAACAAGAGGTTAAGTCAGGACCCCGGATGGCGGCTCGTGGGAACGCGACCCAGCTTTAACGAGAGGCTGGAGAACAAGCCTGCGAGTCCCAAGCGCAAGCCGATCCGAGGCTCGGGCGGCACCGACGATCGGCTCCACCTGGTCTAGCTCGCCCGATCTCCCCCCCCCCCCCCTCCCCGGCCAACCCCCCCTCCCACTCTTCGCCCTCCCGTGTCTAGACGGGCCCCTCCCGCCTTCCCGACGCTGCCCGCAAGCCGGGCTGTCCCCGTGGCATTCCGACGTGGCCGGGCGGCTTTTGCAGCCGTCGCGAGGAGCAGAAGCGAGTGAGCGAGCGAGGGGAGGGCCGCCCAGGCGGCGGCAGCGGCAGCGGCGGCGGGGAAGCGAGATCCGGAACATGCGAACGGGGCGGGTTCCTGCTTCCACCGCCCCCCTTTCGGTCCAGCCCTTCCCCGAGAGGCGCTCCCTGCCACAGGAAGCCCCGGCAGCGGCCTCCGAGGGCCCCGCAGGGCGAGCCACAAGGCCGAGCAGGTCCAGGTGAGCCGCTCCCGCCCCGCAGCTTCGCCCCTTTCTGGCTGTTCCCCCACCCCCACCCCGAGGCGTCCGCCCGGCCGGGAAAGGCCGTGGGAAACGGGCGGGATCGGGCGGCTTGGCGGGTCTGCAGGGAACCGGGACGCTCCCCGCACCTCCCGGGTGGGTGGGTGGAGGATAGGCTCTCTTTGCTCCGCCGTCGCGGGCGAGGAGCGGGCATTGTCTCGCAGGGGAATTTGCAGCGGGGAAGGAAAGGGGTCTGGGGGGGGGACAGGGACGGGTTTCCCCCTCCTCCCTCCCAGTTTTTTTGTCCCCCCCTCCCAGTTTCCCGCCCCCCCACTTTACATGTTCCCCCTCCTACTTTCCTTGTTTCCCCTCCCACTTTCCCGGTGCCCCCTCCCATTTTTCCTGCCCCCC